TATAAGTGAAGAATCCAAATACAATTTGTCAGCACTGAAGATCAAAGGTTCAACTATTCGAATTACAAACCAGTCTTATAAATTAAATATTAAAAACATAAAATTTAAAAAATGTGAAATTATCATTGTCCACAATTTTCGGACAGGAAATTTCAAAGCTAACAATTTGTTTAGCACATGCATTAACCAAATTAAGTGTAAAAATGCTTTTCGAAATACACAAACAGAAACACACCTACAGAAACTGACCACATAAACACACCGTTGTGAACATATGCACAGAACCAGTCAGATAAACAGACAGGTCCAGTGAGAAACACATTTCATTGCCTAATGCTAGGGTCACATTTTTAGAAGTGTATGCGTGTATCTGTAGCATGTAGCTCCCTGCTGTGTGGGTTCTTTCTTCTGCTATGGAGACATTTGTTGCCGAAGAGCAAAATGTATATCCCCATTTTATAGTTATTTGCACAAAAAATATGAATATGAAAAAGGTTGCTTATTAAAATTTTAGAGCACTTTTATAAGTGTTTTAGATGTTTAAAATTGAAACTGAATTAAATAAAATAAATTTTGACAACATTTTCACATGAAAGAATGATCAGTTGGAGGTTGAAAAATGTGATTCCAGGCAGATATATAAGCACCCTGTACATAGCACGTACACACATGTGTTTGTTTGTTCGTAACAACACAACGCAAGCAAATCTTAAAAACAAAATAAATGTCCAAAGATTGAATGAGCAGCGGGAAGCATAATTAGCAGAGGGACTCGCGGGCAACACGTCATCCCCGCTAACTTCACTTTCGTGAAACTTTTTCTTCCTAACTTCATGTTTGTTGTCCATTGACGATCGGAAGCAGACCGGATGCAGGCCAGTAATGAGGTTGCGTTCTTCTGTGCGCTTCTTAACGGTCCTACCACGTGTGGTGTCTCCTAATTGCGATGGTCAATTATTTAACAGCGGACACAAATTATGATCTCCCTTGCTGCATGTACAAGTTCTGCCTTTGATGATGGCGCTGCTGATGATGTTGGTGAAGCCTATGATGATGGTGATGATAATGGTGATGATAATAATGATGATATTAATGTCAATAATGAGGATGACGATGAGTTAGTAGTAAATAAGATGAGGACACCGAGTTTGTTGCGTTTCATGGCACGTTCTGATGGGTCTTTAAGAACGATGCAAGCAATGGCCATAGAGCCTAAGAATGACTTGAAAAAGATTTAGAAAACAAAAATATGATGAAACAAATGAAAAAAAAATAAAAAGAAGAAAAAGCAGCTTGTAATAAAGAAAATGTTTGCTGGGTAATAAACATGGCGAGCGAAATTAACTGAGGTGAGATGAGTGTAGATGGTCAAGCTCGCAGCAAAAATTATTTCCTCAACATAAAAAAAAACCAAATGGAATTCTGCTAAGAATATACAACAAGACGAAGAGATCAACGAACAATATAATCGCTATTAATAAAATTTTAAATATCCTTTTTAACAATTAAGGTGAAAACCTGTTGAAATCCACATCAATAAAATTTTACATTACCATTTAATTTATCATATCTTAAAAATTTCAAAGGTGATATTAATGGAATTTGTTTGAAGAAGAGAATATCATTCAACTGTGAAATCATCCATTTAAACAAACGCAAAATGCTTCATCAAATGATGGTGCATCTTTCAGGATCTTGTTAGGAAACAAACTGCAAAAAATTCTTTCGAAAAAAAACACACGGGTTGAATTGTTTATTATTATTATTACTATTTACTACTACTACTAATAATAATATTATTGCTATTTATTATTATTATTGTCGTCAAATAACAGTGCAACATGTTTGTATAGTTAATAAATTAATTTTTAAAATTTAGACTAAAAAATACAATGCTTATAACAATCCAGAAAGATTGTTAAGAAGGAAAATTAATATCGAAGCATAATAAATAAAACTATAAACACATTTTAAATTTTATAATACAAAGAAGAAGATCATCCTTCAGTTTGCAGCTTGCAATCCGTTGGATGTACAACTACATGAATCCCAGCCAGCGTTCACGCCAAGCCTGTCAGAACTGCAAAACAAAATAGCCAAAAACAAAGACCGTGTGCTGTTTTAGACAATACAACCATGCAAAAACAAGTTAGGTGGTAGTTAGTAGGGGGGTTAGAATGGGCAGGTGCGTACATGAATAAAATGTATGATGGAAAGACTTGAGTGTGAAGTTGAAGTATCCTATAAAATTTGAAGTTAGTTGGCTGTCCATTTTAATGTGAACTTAACTTTGGACATGTGCGAATATATAAACGTGTTTGCATGTGCGTGTATGCATGTGCGTGTGAGCATCTGCGTGCATAAATGCGTATATAAATGTGAGTGCAATTTTTGCAAACAATTTATTGCAAATTTTAGATTTGTATATACATTCATACTCTTTTCATATTTTGCAATTTGGGTTGGTACGTATGCCTAAAAGAATCACTATTCTAACGTACAGTAGCTTTTATATATTTATAAAAATACACCAGCGTCTCATATAACACACACACACACACACACCACACACACACACACATATATATATATATATATATATCATATGATTGTTTATGTGTATGTGTGTTTGTGAACCAGTGAATAAAAATTGATAACTCAGTGAATAAATTTGTAGGCAAACACATGCGTCGGTACCGTCCCATCTGTGAGGCAACTTACATTTTATCAGCACTAATACACCCATAAGAGTTGATCTGACTAACAAACTCACAAATACAACCCTCAAGAGAATCGAAATGATACTTTTGTACAAATTCGTACACACTGTGCGTGTGTACAAACAGGTACACGTCAACTATACACTTTCTCAATACCAATAGATGTATATAGATGTATAAATATACACTCCAATTATAAACTATGGGAATACTATGAATAGCAAACACGCCACGTGTTCGCAGTGGTCGGTGTCAGCGTGAAGACGTGAGTTTTTTTGTATATAGATGGCAGCAGGAACATAAAATTGAATAAAATTTTTCAGCACAAATTGCCCTGTACAGATGTCTGGCTTGAAGATAACGTCGCTAGTCTGCACACAGGCATAGCGTGTGTACATGCATATATGAAACACACATGTCCACACACATGTACATTATGATATATACATACATATATATATACATATATATATATATATATGTATATATATATATATATTTGAATAGACTTAATTGTAAAGAACTAGTTCAAAATATTAGAAAATCAACCATAAAACTTGTTAATGCTGAATCGTCGGTGGATTTTTTGAACAACTGTATAGAACTTGGTCTTCTTCCTAATATATATATATATATATATATATATATATACTGGCGTGAAGGACCAACCGCTTGTTGAGACCAAATCTTTCACAACGGAATCAGGTTTTATTTTGAAAGCTCAATTTACGTAGTTGAAAAAAGATCAGTAAATTAGCAAAAAATCCTTTAAGGAGGGCGTTCCAGGACGACGAGGATGTTGAAGCTTCCCTCCCCCTATTTCCTCCCGCCAGACTTCCATTTCTCAAATTGGTCGTTGTTTATTTCAAGCATCGACGAAAAATCATATTTTTGATTGATTACATCGCGTTACGTGAGGCGTACATAGCATTGCCTCAAATATAAGGTCGCTGAATGCCATGCATGTCTCTATATATAAATACGTGTAAACAGTTTTTTTTTATGGGGATGATTGAAGGAATGGAAACAAATTATGACTCTGAATGAAAACATTTTCATCTTCAGTGAGATGTTGGACGCATTAAAATGTAAACTTTCATTAAACGATTATTATGTGCATACACTTGAACATTACAGTCTGGCAGATGATGCTTTGCAATGAATTTTTTTTGCTTAGATTTATTTTTTAATTAAAATAAATTAATAAAACATTTTTCAAAACTGATGTTTGTCTGCTAAACAATGACTACCATTAAGTCAGGTTTATGATTTAAACAACATTTTATATCTCAAAATTATATCAATCGTATCGGTCTCAGTGAAAAAATGCTTCCAAAATTGTTTCCCATTTCTAATAAATATAAATTTAAGATTTATTTAAATCAACAAATTAAAAAAATTGAAGAATATAAAACTGAAAAAAATTAATAATTTAATAATAAAAATGGATACAGTTGAATATAAATCTAATACTAGTCCGATAAATAAACAGAATTAAAACGCACAGAAATCGCGACGACAAACTTCTGGACAACTTAGTAGCAGCAGAAGCAGCGATAGAGGCGTTCTGAAAAATAAATTTGAAACATTGATGCGGGTGGGATAAGGAGCTGAGATGATATATTACCATGTATGAATTAATTTATAAAATAATTTATCAACTTAAAAATAAAAACAATCATTAATTTGTAAATTTGAAAATTCTGTTAATTTTAAATAAACATTTATTTGATTTGCGCACTTGATCAGTTATTTGGTTTTATGTTTTTTATGTTTATGAATCCATATTAATAAACTGAAATTGTACTTAAAAATTAAATTTTCAAAGACCAAAATTGATTCAAATTGAAATGATTTCAATTTATTTTTTTAATATCCATTTAATTAAACCTGGAACCAAATGGTTGGATTACGACGAAGATCGAATTTTACAACTGAAAAACTTGCCCACCTATAAACTTTGCCAAATTATTTTTAAAAATTAAATAGGATAAAATCATTCAAAAAAATTGCTTCTAACATTAATTGACAAATTTGTGATGCTATCTCATAGAAATAATGCTTACATGCATAGAGTTTCGACTAGAGGTGCAGCAAAGGAGGTGGTTTTCCTCAATGGTGGAAGGTTTAGCCGGAGATAGAATTCCTTTGAATAAAATCTATTTTATAAATTAACCAAAGTTTGAATTGACATCTTTTTCAGCCTTTCCACAAAAAGAAAGTTATGTAAAATTTAGTACAAGACGACTGGTTTTAATGACAAAACCTTAAGCTACGCCATTTCGACAAAAAGTGCATTTTGATAAAAAAAATTAAACAATAAAGAATAAAATATAATAACTAGAGTTCAGAAAGTTGCTTTTGTTAAGAAAGATGAATGAGTTAGAGAAGAGTAATCTACCTTATTTAAAAGCATTGCTTTAGCAGACCTTATTACATTGTATGTTTAAAAGTTCATTTTATTATGTGTTTGAATGTTTATTGCATTATGTGTTTGAAGTTGTATTGTTGCTGGCCAGGTAATAATGGTGCGAGAGAGAGAGAGAGGAAAAAGTTAAGGACTGACAAAGATTGATGAGTGTGAGTTTGCAGCGTGAATAAAGAAAAATCTAAGTGCTGATTAACGAAATGATTAATGAGTAAATTGCAAGATGAAGGAAAATTCGAATTAAGTCAAATATACGTGCGAACGAATGAATGAATGATTGATTGATTGAATGAGTGTTACTGCTGTTCTAAGTTGATGTAGTGCAATATTAATAATACCGATGAATTAAGCTGAAGAATGAATTTGTTGGATCGTGTGTTTAAATTAAGGATGAAAAAAGCAATGGATGAAAAATTGCAAGCGCGGTGAAAGTCTGATTGATGGGTGGGGTGATGGAGATGGAAAAATAATGGCTTCTATAAGCTAGTAACAGGAAAAGGAAAAGTTAAATTGAGAAATAAAGTGAAATATTGTCTATCTGTTATTACGAGATGCACAACTATTTCATAATCGTTTGATGACTTTACGGCGTTATTTATTTTAGATGAGATTTTTCAAAATATTATGTTGTACTATTTGGTTACTTTGAAACTTTTTTATCACCATAAATTCTGATTTAATGTGTAAACGCATTCTTTAAAATTTTTCCTAAAAACATTTTACAAATATTTTAACTTTCTTTCTTTTATTCTTTTATTTTTGGTTAATTGTGTTTATTTTTCTTAAAATGTTTACCGCTATCTTTAAACTCAATCATTTTTTACTTTAAATTCTTCACACCCAAAATTCTGAAAGACCTAGTACGTCCTCACAGACGCCTTTCGACAAGATTTGCAAAATAATATCCATTCAAATTATTTGTTGTTTATGTTAAGCCTGAGTTTTTTATTTTTGTTTTAACTAATAGTTTATTTCAAGTGTAGCGTTATAATACAGAAGCATAAAAAATTGTGATTGGAAACTCAATAGCTGGCAAAACGAATGAAGGAGGATGTAGTGAGCGGAAGAGAAGCTGCACAGTGCAGGTAGGCTGCTGTCAGGTCGTCTCCATGTTTAATTCGAGGAGCTGGCTTTAAATTCTTCTTAAGTTGTCGTGCTTTATGACGCTTTCCCCGCTCCTTCCAGATACATCCACATTTTTATTTGTCAGCACTGCATCAAGTTTATTGACACACCTATGTTGTGGTCGGTTATTTTTGGAAAAATTACGACTATTTTTTTGCCATTAAAACCTCACATGCACACAAGCGTACGTATACACACGCATACGCAGAAACACGTACACAAATACAAAAGATTTATTTATATTGCGTGTCCGTTAAATGTTTAGGTTCAAAATTGTTGAGAAGCAAGTAGTGTAGTTAGTTAGTTCAGCAATTGCACTTCCAGTTGAAGATTTAAAGGTAAAACCGTACTGATATTTATGAATTATATTGAATTTTAATAAAAAAAACTTCTACAATATGTTAAAAACATAACCTTTTCAAAGATAAGTAAATATTTTAGGCGATAATTTTCAAATATTATAGTTTCGGATTTTGGCTTTTAAAATTATTTATTTATTTTTATTTTTTGTAAAATCAAAACCGTATTCATAACATAAAATTATTGCTCGTTAGTTGGTTTCAATGTTTTCCATCTACCAGACAGCAGACCCCACCTGCCAGACAGCAGACCCCACCTACCAAACAACAGACCCCACCTACCAGACAGCAGACCCCACCTACCAAACAGCAGACCCCACCTGCCAGACAGCAGACCCCACCTACCAAACAGCAGACCAAAAATGACGAAAGACCCAATTGTCGTTTAAAATTCAATGCATTTTTTTGCTTCTTCTTTACATTGATGTTGCTACTTAGCTTGGCTGTACACCAGCCAGTAATTGAGGGAATGATGATAGCCTGATGGGCAAAACTCACCAAATGTTGTGGGTGATGTCAGATTAAAAAATCCTAGCGGGTAAAACTAACTATCCTCAATAACAAATAAAACACCACGAGCTAACAAAGTGATTTGTACGAGCTCTTAACTGCGATAACTATTCTGATAGGTATTCGGGCT